TAGGTCGGCTGCCATGATGTTGATTTCTCGTGTGCAGCTGACCTGTTGGTCTTGATGATCTCCCTCGCTTTGTCAATGATCTCCGCGAAGGTTGAGTACTGCTCGCGATCCCCAAGAGCCTGGCTCAATGCAGCGCAGGACCTGTTGTAGAACTCACGACGTAGATGCTCGAATGGTAAGTTCAGATTGGGCACAGCCGCAATCTTCTGCCACTCCGTGAGCCAGTCCCGTGTTGCTATGTTGCCCTGTGACATTGTGAACAATCGGTTGATGGCGAGTGTCGGCGCGTCGTCGACGGTGAACCGCTTCTTCCACAGCCGTGTCAGTTCCTCCCATGTGATTACGTCCTTCAAGTCTGGTACGTTGACGCCGTGGGAGGTTGCCAGGTGGGTCAACCAGGTCTGGCATCCGCCCTTTGAGTTCAGGAACAGGGCGCCGATGTACTTGTGCTTAGCGACAGGCAGAATCCTGAGTTGCGTCGTGAATGCCTCCCACTAGAGGGTCGGATCCTGCTGCGTGTAGTCGTCGAACTTTTCCAGTTGGAAAGTTGGCATCTTCTGATTGCCATCTGCGTTCGTCGACTGTAGCTGTTGGACCTCGGTCTTCAAGGTATGCAGCTAAGTGTTGATGGTGGACGGCGCAGCGAAGGTGTTAATGCAGCCGAGCATTGCCAGGATGTGGTCAACGCGTTCCTCCAGTTGGYGGCTAGAGGGTGCACTGCTGGAAGCCCCAGCAGTTGGTCCTGGTACAGCCTGTTCCAGGTCTAGCAATCGGGCATTGATTGCCCGAGTTGCATCCTCGTGGCTCTGCACTGTGCGGCGGAGCGTCGCCAACTCCTAATGCTGTTGCGTCAGGTCCTGGTACTGTCTCTCCAACTCTGACCGTTGGTATTTGCAAGCATACAACAACCGTGTCACGAGTTTGGAGAGGAACTCCTTATGCTGTTCTTCCGGTGTTGCCTCGTCGCCGTTCGGTTCAAAATGCTAGAACTTGAGTCTGTCGATGCTTGTGGCTTCATGCCGCTGTAGCAGATCCTGGGCTTCCTTGCGGCGAGCCTGGGAATCTGCGTCTGCATCGGCCTGTAGCCGCAACTTCTCTGCTGCTGCTGCCTCTTCAGCCTGTACGCGAGCAGCCTCGACTGCCAGCAGGCGTTGTTCCTCAGCCTCTATCTGAGCCAGGCAACGCTGCTTGTAGGCGGCAATGGTCTCATTGGCCAGTTGGCCTGGCAGGCCCGTCATGTTGCTGACGTGGCACTGCTGATTACGTGGCACTGTTGATGTGGCACTGCTGACGTGGCACTGTGTCTGATGTGGTACTGCTGACGTGGCACTGCTGACGTGGCAGTGTGTTGGACGTCACTGCTGACGTGGCACTGTTGTCGTGGCACTATGTCTGACGTGGCAATGTGACCTGGCACTGCTGACTTGGCACTGCTGACTTGGCACTGCTGATCTGGCACTGTTGACGTGGCACTGCCGACGCGGCACTGTGACTTGGCACTGTGACTTGGCACTGTGACGTGGCACTGCTGATCTGGCACTGCTGATCTGGCACTGTGACGTGGCACTGCTGACGTGGCACTGTACCGAAACGGGATGCATGCAAGGGGTGGGTGGGAGGGAAAACAGTNAACAATCGGTTGATGGCGAGTGTCGGCGCGTCGTCGACGATGAACCGCTTCTTCCACAGCCGTGTAAGTTCCTCCCATGTGATTACGTCCTTCAAGTCTGGTACGTCGACGCCGTGGGAGGTTGCCAGGTGGGTCAACCAGGTCTGGCATCCGCCCTTTGAGTTCAGGAACAGGGCGCCGATGTACTTGTGCTTAGCGACAGGCAGAATCCTGAGTTGCGTCGTGAATGCCTCCCACCAGAGGGTCGGATCCTGCTGTGTGTAGTCGTCGAACTTTTCCAGTTGGAAAGTTGGCATCTTCTGATTGCCATCTGTGTTCGTCGACTGCAGTTGTTGGACCTCGGTCTTCAAGGTATGCAGCTGGGTGCTGATGGTGGACGGCGCAGCGAAGGTGTTAATGTCGCCGAGCATTGCCAGGATGTGGTCAACGTGTTCCTCCAGCTGGCGGCTAGATGGTGCACTGCTGGAAGCCCCAGCAGTTGGTCCTGGTACAGCCTGTTCCAGGTCCAATAATCGGGCATTGAGTGCCCGAGTTGCATCCTCGTGGCTCTGCACTGTGCGGCGGAGCGTCGCCAACTCCTGATGCTGTTGCGTCAGGTCCTGGTACTGTCTCTCCAACTCTGACCGTTGGTAGTTGCAAGCATACAGCAACCGTGTCACGAGCTTGGAGAGGAACTCCTTATGCTGCTCTTCCGATTTTGCCTCGTCGCCGTTCGGTTCAAAATGCCAGAACTTGAGTCTGTCGATGCTTGTGGCTTCATGCCGCTGTAGCAGATCCTGGGCTTCCTTGCGGCGAGCCTGGGAATCTGCGTCTGCATCGGCCTGTCGCCGCAGCTTCTTTGCTGCTGCTGCCTCTTCAGCCTGTACGCGGGCAGCCTTGACTGCCAGCAGGCGTTGTTCCTCAGCCTCTATCTGAGCCAGGCGTTGTTCCTCAGCCTCTATCTGAGCCAGGCAACGCTGCTTGTAGGCGACAATGGTCTCATTGGCCAGTTGGCCTGGCAGGCCCGTCATGTTGCTGACGTGGCACTGCTGATTACGTGGCACTGCTGATGTGGCACTGCTGACGTGGCACTGTGTCTGACGTGGTACTGCTGACGTGGCACTGTGTCGGACGTCATTGCTGACATGGCACTGTGTCTGACGTGGCACTGCTGTCGTGGCACTATGTCTGAYGTGGCAATGTGACCTGGCACTGCTGACGTGGCACTGCTGATCTGGCACTGTGACGTGGCACTGCTGACGTGGCACTGCCGACGTGGCACTGTGACTTGGCACTGCTGACGTGGCACTGCTGATCTGGCACTGTGACGTGGCACTGTACCGAAACGGGATGCATGCAAGGGGTGGGTGGGAGGGAAAACAGTGGGAGGTAACCAACCCAACAATACTTTCCTCCGGCCCTAATCAACAGATAAATAAAAAATAAAAAAATAAAAGAGGACGACTTCCTTTTTCTTTTTTTTTTGTATATATCTGTCGATCTATGATGAGTAGGATATGTCAGAAGAGTATTATGAATGAGATCTAGGCTAGGTTCCGCAAAGTTTCGGCTTTTACAACTGCGATCTTGAAATTTTTTTTTGCGAAATGGAGTAAAGATGCGATTTTCAGAAGAGACCGAAATCCAGTTTCTGAGAATATGCAACCTCCGAATTTGCCTAACACAATATTTGTAGGCTTCGCAAGATTCCGGTTTTCAAAAAAAATTTGCGAGATAGAATGGAAATTCGATTTTCAGAAAAGAATAATTTCAGTTTCCGAGAATATGACTATTTCTATCGTTATCTTAAAATGCCTAGAGAAGGAAATACTAACTTCAGAAATTTCAGCTATGTATGCGAAATATCAGAGAAACGAATTGCAACTATCGGGAATTTTCAGACAAAACGAAATGCGATTTATCAGA